TTTTTTTTAAATTTATAATTTTTTAAACACGATGCCTAAATAAAATGCTATCCTGATTATTAGCAAAATAGGAACCCAGAGACGGATGATTGGCATGTTCACCAGGTGCCACCACATCCCAATTGTTAGATTGATGTCTTGTTAAAATCAGCCAACTCAATATATTGTTTTACTATTTGCAACACATAGCCTATATTCCAAGCTCCTTGAAACAATATATATTCAAATATATTTTTTTCCGAATAAAGATGTGTCATGACAAATTAAAATTTGACAAATTAAAATTTCTGGACCCTTATAGTATGGGCTTCTTCCAAAATTCATAACACACTTGTGCATTTCATTTCGTTGTGCCAAAATGTTATGATTTTAAAATTTTTATCACGAAGTGCAATTTGTTTAAAGCTTAAACGTGTTTACATTTAAAGTTTAAATTTGTTTAGCCTCAAATCTCATTACCTAGAGGTGTCGCAAAGTTCCAAAGTGCAATAGTAATCTAGGATAATGTACCAAAAAATGTATTTTAGGTATAAATGATACTTGGCTAATTCGTTCAAGCAGAGAATAATGTCTTTGAATCAGATGCTAAAGAATAAAGATCCAACTAAATCAATATCTAGTCCCAAAATGATTTTTACTATTGGTCGGCAAAGCAAATGAAGCTGTCGAAAGATGTTGTTTAGAAGTATATAATGATTTTTTACTAGACGCTGACAAATATAGGCAAAAATGAAATAGTGACCAACGCTCTACGGTTTTTCCATGGATTTTTTTATTGGTCGTTGCCAAAGTTTTTTGAACACATAATATAGATGGTTTATCTGGAATGTGATACTAGAACTTTGCTATTTCTTCTTTTAACTAATTATTAGTGAATAATTTTTCTTTGATAAGATTTCTTACATTAATTGAATAATTTACACACAAAAGCCCTTCTAGTCTATCACGCATAAAGTCAGGTGGGAAACATTCAATTGGATTGAAATACTGCAAACTAGGTAACGAACAATGACTATTAATACCATAAACACCATTGAGTGATTTATTGATCTTTTTTTCTTGAACATGAGAATTATGTAAATCTAACGTTTTCAGTTGACATAAAGATTATGAATGAACTTTTGAAAAAAAATTTTACAAAATCATACAATAACGACAAACTCTACTAGATGACCCACCAAAAGAATGAGAGGATAAGTTATCGCCAGAAAATGTAACGATAGTGCTATTGAAATGTTTAATTTTCCCAAGAGTATTCAATCAAGCCCATCTGTCTCAAGCAATTTAATATCCTTCTTTAGTTTATTTAAAATTTTATCCTATCCAAACAATTTGACAGCACTATATTGTGCAACTAATACCAAGTGAATATGTTCAAGGTTTGTCCATAAATTTTCAATATTTCCAACCATAAAGTAAAACATTTAAACCTTGTGAGTGCCCCTTCTGTTTCCCATGGCATTACAGATTTCTAACTCATCATGTAAATGTAAACAAATAAGTTTGTTGCTATTAACATTTAAGGATTTAAATAGTGTCCCATCAGAATAATCTCGCATAATACCATCACTATTAACTGCTTTTATATACAACTAGCCTCATCTTTTTGAAGATAGGCTTTCGAAGTTCGAAGAATTGGAATATAACAACTATCTTTTTAATTTTTTTTATAATTTTTTTATTTTTTATTGCGTAAATATTATTATTTGTGTTTTCTACTACAGCTGGAAATGCTTCATTGTTTATATATTTTTAGAACCACCAAGACCTTCAATTACTCGATGAAGTTCATTAGTCTACACATCAAGTTCTATTGGGTAAACAAACTCAAGGTTATTATGCATATTTAAGTTTTTAAGATGATCAGTTGCAAACAGTTAAGAGATACTAACAATTTAATCATAAATTAAGGAAAAAAGTAATACTCGATTCAAGACAGAGTCGTCATCTGATTAAACATTTATCGCTTTAAGCCTTTTTCTTGTTAATGATACAAAACTGTTTTGAAAAAATCAAGCAAACATTTAATTTTCTTACATAATGAAGAAGCTGTAAAAAGAGGCAACATGTTTATTGCACGCAACTACAGCTGTGTTATACATAAATTATTTCCAAAACATTCTAAAAAACCATAAAACTCTGTCAATAATTTTTTAGCTTTTTTATCCACATTTTTAATAAACGCTATATTTTCTGCACAATATTTTCAACATTTTCTTCTACAACTTTAGATAAATTCAGTTTATCGGAAGTTATGCAAACTAGTTAAGATAGATGAAATATTAAAACATGACATCTATATGCATTATAGTAATAAACACAACCATCTAAACTAAAGGACAAATTTAGATGTTTTTGATTATGCTGCAAGATCATGTGATTGATTAACCCTCGTGCATTATAAAACCCTTTTCTGAAAAACTCGACTTAACAATAACACTCCACGAGCGCTAGATGTCACTAGAATACAGCTCGCAAACCATTAAACTATTATTTTTAATGAGACGGTTTTATGTAAAGTATGGAAAAAGCTGAGGATACATACATATAATATATATATATATATATAAATATATATATATATATATATAAATATATATATATATATATTTTTCTTAACCCTTAGGTTCCGAAGTACGCCTTTTGGCGTTTTTAAATATACCTTGATATTTTACTAAAACACACAAAAACTACTTACTGTAATCCTTTTCTGGCTTCAAGTTATGAATAAATAGTCCACAACGGTCCGAAAAATATAAACATTAAGTTTTTTTATCAAGAGTTCTATGCAATATTTTTACTTAAAAAAGTATAATAATTATGACATCTAGGAGTCGCCGATTAACTGAATCTGAGATTCAGAAGTTTATAGATGAACTTGATGACAGTGAAATTGATGGTTGCGAAGATGATTCTTTAATTTCCACTGATGGTAATAATATTTCAGTCTATTTGTTTAGACATGGATTGTTAAATAAATGAGTTTCATTGATAAAATAAGTTTAAAATTTGATTTTCAAAAAACTTACTTAATTTCTCCTCGACCTTGTTTCATAAATATTTTAGTATGTATCAAAATTGCAAAGTAAAATTTTATAAAGCCATACATGTTATAAATATATAATCCTTAAGCAATTTAAATATGCATTTAACAACCTTAGATTCATTAGAACTTACATCAGAATCTGAAACGTCGGAAGAAGAGGATGCTTCGGATATCGAATTTATTCAACCAAGAATAAATGGAGCAGTTTCTTTAGATCTTTCTCATGTTGAAAATAACAACACCAGCAATATTGTAGTAACTGGTGGTAATATAGCTGAATTGCAACCACTGCAAAATCGTCTTTGTAAGACCAATCAATCTAATAATGATAATGGTAATAGCAATATTTTTATATGGGATGACATTCCTAGACAACAAAAAGAATTTCCATTTTCTGCAATCAATAAAGTGAATAAAGTTCCTGAGAAGCATGATTGTCCACTTGCAGTACTGAAGACATTTTTAACAGATGATATTATCAACAATATTGTCCAATACACAAATAGGTATGTCCAGCTTGCTAAATTAACTCCAAAAATAATGCAAAGAATGGAAACAAAAAAAATAAGTTGCTTCAACTTATGGGTTGATTTGACATTTGATGAACTTTGGGTATACATTGCAATAATATCTCTAATGGGAATAGTAAACAAGCCTAATTATCATATGTTTTGGACTAAAGACCATATATTTTCTACACCTATTTTTTCCAGACTCATGCGTCGTGATCGATTTGAGTCCATTCGTAAAATGATGCATTTTACAGATCCTGGAAATGAAAATCATGATGATAGTTTGTGTAAGCTTAGGTCTTTGATAGATAGTTTATCAAAATGTTTTTCTGAAAATTATACTCCTGAGCAAAATGTCTCAGTAGATGAGTATCTTTCCCTTTGGAAAGGTCGTTTGAAGTTCCGTGTTTTTATCCCAACTAAGCGTGAACGCTACGGAATCAAATTATACATGTGTTGTGAAAGTAAGACTGGTTATTTGTATAGCTTTATAATATATACTGGTTCAGATACAGACTATCCTGCACCCAGTAACATTACATTTCCAAAAGCATTTGATGAGTATGCAAGTTACTCAAAAGTAGTATTATCATTAATAGATGGACTGTACAAACAAGGTTACTGTGTAACGATAGATAATTTTTACACTTCACCTGAACTTTTGATGGCCCTATTTTATAACCAAACGGATTGTTTTGGCACACTGCGTCGAAAAAAAGGACTTCCTAGGGACTTCTGGAATTGGAAGCCTTCTAAAGGCATAGGTCAACCAGTTTTGAAAATGTTTTGTGCCGAAAAAATTATGATAATGAGATGGAATGATCCTTACAAAACCAAATCAACAAAAATTGTTTCAATAATGTCAACAAAACATACTGGTCAGTTAGTTGAAACTGGAAAAGTTCACTTCTCTTTGAAAAGTCCCATTATAAAACCAGATGTTGTATTAGAATACAATAAAACATTGGGTGGTGTAGATACCTTGAGCCGTGTTAGTATCCCCTATTCCATACAGCGGAGAGGTTTAAAATGGTTTAGAAAGATTGGGGAGCTGCTTATTGATTTTTGCATTTATAATTCATTTGTCATTTGGAAAAAATTAAATAAAAGCAGCACCAGTCAACTCAAGTTTAGACAATCACTTGTAAAAACGATACTTATGTATCATCTAAACAAACAAGCACCAATTCAAACTGGACGCGGAGAACCAGTAAATTATTTCAACAACCATTTAAGACTTATTGAAAGACATTTCATCACTCAAAAAAATCAATCCTTTGGTCGGAAGCGTAGTAAATGTGTCTGTTGCTTAAAGATTGGCAAACGCAAGGAGACAAGCTATGAATGTCGCATGTGTGCTGTAGCACTCTGTGTCACACCGTGTTTTGAAATATATCACACACAACGTGATATTACATCATCAAGAGATAGTTCGTCATGCGACAGTGAACAACCTTGAAGTGGTCATGGTTTAAAATCTATTGATATGTCTTTTCATATATTTCTATTCAATAAAGATATTTTGTTTATTTGTTGAAAATTTTTTCAAATTTTAGCAAAAACAATTAGTGTAATAATTTTAAAAATTGGAAAAAATTAAAGTTGTACTTGATTTTATTGTTATTATTTTGTTTGAATATACTTTTGGGATACTAAAAATATTATTTTTATTACATAAATATATATTTCCACCTGTTTTTTTTTCATAAATGTCTATATATTGATAAAAAGTGCATTAAGGAGTTTTTTCTTACATTTTTTTTGTTTTCTAGATGAATGATGTATAAAAGCTGTCCAGTGTGGTGTTATCCTTTATGAATTATGTAAGTATAATAATTTACCTTTTATAAAAACTTTACTTCAAGAATTAGACATAAGGATAACAGAATATATATTGTTTTTAAGAAAACTACAACTTTTGCTAAAAAACATTGCGCGCTGAGTGGTCAAACATGAAAAATTAAGCGGAGTCTAAAGGTTAATATATAATTACTTCGATATTTCGCTGATCTATTGTGATCAGCGTCATCAGGTATAATAAACAAAATAGTTACAAAATCGTTATAGTAAAAACAAACCGTTAAAAAGATAACATTACAAAGCTATAATATAATACAGAAAAAAACATTTCAAACAACTGACGTCAGCAGATTTTATTAAAATATGGCTCCCAGGTTTTGGTTGTTACGTTATCACCCTCATCCCGATTAAGAACCACGTCACCATTTCTCAACTCCTGTTGAACCCTAGCCTTGCTTATTTCGAGTGACTCTGATTTTCCGAGTTCGATATTCTGGGGCTACAGATAATGTTTTGGGGTGCAACCAATCAAACTTACCATGACATGTTTTAGAATGCTCAGTTGCACCCGAACTGGACCATTTTCTTGTTTATTATACCTGATGACGCTGATCACAATAGATCAGCGAAATATCGAAATAGTTATATATTAAAGAAAAAATATATTTATACTTAAAAAGAGTTTGAACGCAGCCGTATTTATTGAATTCTAACCATATTTTAACGTATATCAAGAAAATGACATTCAAAGATTATATATATATATATATATATATATATATATATATATATATATATATATATATATATATATATATATATATATATATATATATATATATATATATATGTATACCCAGCTAGCAAGGAGTAATTGGCCCAATGTATGAAACAACATTGGGTTGTTATTTGGATTGGGCCAATGCTTCTCCAATGCATGAACGTGAAGTTTTATTACTTAAATAATTTAGCCGACGTAGCTGTACGAATAGCGCAAACAGTTTTTGTAATGCGCGTATTTGACACAATATTTGTGTTTTGTATTAAAGTTTTAAAGTAGGTTCAAAGTTTTTAACGAGATTCTACTATTCTGATTATATTCTATTAAGTAATATTTTTAAAAAAAATATGTAAATTTTTTTCTACAAAGTGCAGTATAAAAAAAATTATTTTTCATGCATTGAAAAATGAAAAAATTATTTTAGTTATAAAGAAAATAAATAAAAGTAAAGTATATGAAAACGTATATGCTAATTTTTTTTAGCATTTAATTAACTTGATTTAAATAGAATTTGAATTGGATTGTTAATTTGAATTTGTGTTATTGGCCCCCTTATCGTGGTAGTCAAATAGAAAACTTTATACAAAAAAAAAAGAAGAACCCAAATTATATTGGTAACAGCTGCCAGCTAGATCATTACATTTATATGGTAATTGTTAATAAAGCTCTTCGATAACATTTTAAAATTACATTAAAGTTAAAATAAATGATAACAGTCTAAAAATAATAAAAGTTACATTTGTTTTATTTTATTAAAAAATAATAACTTTATAATAAGTATTTTATAAACAATTTGTTTTATTTTTTTTTAAACTTTTTTAGTAAGTCTTGAAAAAGCACATCAAAATTTAAAACAAGCAGAGTTAAACACCTCATCTCTTGACTCAGATTGAACGAATTTCAAATGTCAAATAAGCGGTGAAAAAATTTTTCATTGTCTTATAAAGAATGTATTGTAGACAATAATACAAAGCTTAAATGTCCAAATGCTTATGATTTTTGTATTTGTGCTTATAGCTATATATAATTGTATTTATGCTAGTATAATATACAAAGTTTTCTATGCAATATCTTTGTTTTTAATAAGTTGTTTTGAATAATCATCCCTTAAAAAATAACCAAACTTTTTAAATAATCTTTTTTCAGCAAGTTGTGAGATCCCTTTTCCAGAAAAAAGTAAACAGGAGTTTATTATAATGAAGAAAATAAAGATTTCACAATACATTCTTGCACTGCTAAACTACCGGAGACTGACAATTTGATTAATCAAGCTCAGCCAAATTTTAACCCTCTACAGCATGAATTAAAAAAAATTTCTGGATTAAAAGTAGTAATATTTTTTTCTATTGGTGTTAGGTTACAAAATAAACGAAAACATTTTTATAAAAGTTATTTTTCAATAAAAGTGGAAAATGATCAAAATATATTAAATGCTAATCGGCATCTGCATGCAATACCGTAAAATGGGGTGTATAGCAACAGTTTGTGGCCTTTTGACTAACACAGATATTCTGTTTAAGCCCTGAAAAGGGTTGTAATAAGCTTAAAAGTCTGGTCTTGCAATCTTTTACAAGTTAACAGTGGAAAAACAAAATGAACTCAATCAGGTTACCAAAAACAAAATCAAATGTGCCTGTTGCTTTTCACCCAGCTAATTGGGGTGAATAGCAACACTGGTTAGATTGTTGGTATTTTGCCATTAGAAATAACACAGGGTGCATAGCAACACGTTAAATTTGTACACTAAATGTATTTAAGATTTTAAAAAATACAAAATTCATATAAAACTTGTTAAATTCTAAGAAAAAAGTGACAAAATTATATTTTTAAGCAAACATTTTCTTAAAATTGAATCTAAAGGTTTCCGATTATCTTTAAGAAAACTGAATGCATTTAATTTATTGTAAACCCATCAAGATCATTTTCAAATGAAAAAAGTCCTTGAAATCTTCCAGCTGTTCACAATTTCGGTTTTCCAAGCTTGCGGATGACATCCTCAGGTGTCTTGAAGAGTGCTTCTTTGTCCGTTTCCAAAAATCTTAAGCCATGGGAGGTCTTCTTGTAAAACTTTCCAATATATCCCTCTTCATCAAATTCTATAACTTTAACAACATACACGCGAAACGAATTTTTTGTCTTTCCAATCACTTTTATAAGGGCAAAGTCCCCAAGTGAAAACTTTGAAAAATCATTTTCCTTCAAAGTTATGTTTACCGATAAAAATAAATCTTCCTCTGAGAAGCTCTCCCTCCATTCTGCATCACTGTCTTGGAGTGAATAGTCAGACTCTTCAGTAGTTGATTCATCAGGATTTTTAACATATTTTTTCCTTTTTAATGTGTTCTTTGGTCCTTTGCTCGTGTTACTAGGTCCTGCTGTACATTCATTTTTGTCAGTAGAAACCTCTGTTGGAAAGTCTGCAACTTCAACACTTTTACCTGGAAGGATGGATACTTTTTGATCGGTTTGTTGGATTGTCTTATAGATTCCATGTACTGCTTGAAGCTGGCATCCAAGGCTTAAACGGCAGCTTCATTGCTATCTAATCTCTTAGAACCTTTAGAGGGAAGCAGCATGCCAAGGACTTTTTTCCTATTTAGTGGAACAACGCCACATTTTTTGAAACCAGAAACAACATTCGCTTCTTTAAGTGACACAAATAGCTCTTTTAGAAGAGGTGGAAATCGATCCTTAGGCAAAGTTGCTTCACTTCTCCCTGGGCCTTGTTTCCATTTTAAAAGGATGGATCTCCAAGTCTGTTTAAGGGGGTGGAAGAATGCCACGTCTAGTGGTTGTGTAAGGTGAGTGGAGTTGCTTGGTAAAAATACGAATTTGTTGTTATGTTCTTGACATATTTTAATGACATCTACAGATAGGTGTGAAGCCAAGTTGTCACCTAACAAGACATTCACTCCTTTGAGTTTTGATAAATGTGGTATTGCAATGGTCTCGACCTAATCTTGAAAGCAATACGAATCAAACCATCCTGACTTTGTTCTGTTGAATCTCGAGTTTGGTGGTCCCCCAACTCTCCAGCTGTCATACATGTGCTGAGCTTTGTATACTACATAAAACGATAAGATGGTTCCATCACCAGCAGCGGCAAACATAACCGACATTGAAGCCTTTGCAGAATTCATAACTCTTTCGGGATACTTACAGCCCCGCCAAGCTCTAACCACTTTCCGGCCCGGGTCGTCGCATAAGTTGGTTTCATCGTAGTTGATGATATTACTTGTCGGAATATCTTTTAGTTCTGTAGCAAGATGGTCAAAGTATTCATTTATAGTCTCTTCATTAACTGCCGCTCTCGACCGTTTAATATTTTGACACATGCGAGCCGATAGTTGTGTCGTTCCAGGAAGCTGTGTTCAAAATCAGGCCCAGGCATATTATCCTTGAATTTTGGGACAGTTTTGCCCTGCATTTTAATATAATTCTTAATTAGCAGTCTCAAAGTAATTGAGTCAATTGGATATTCCCAATCACTGCAGATCTGAAGTCTACTAACTAAGAGGTTTTCATCATATTTCGACAAAGCGGTTTGGCCACCTTTTTTCTTAGTTTTACCTCTTTTCATATGTCTGTAAAGTATAGTATGATCTATTTCATATTTTTCTGCAACTTTTTTAAAACTACCACCAATTTGTACTTCATTAAGAGCTTTTTTAATCACTTCAGGGTCATACTGCCTGCATTTTTTAATACTCACATACTTTCGAGGCATCCTCTTTCAGTTAGGCCACAAATCATACCTGAAACAAAAAACAGCTCTTATAGTAATCAAATAAATATATTTATATAACCTGTGATCAAGTTAAATACTTAAAGTCAGTATTTATGTTAAAAATAACAAAAAAAAATAATCAGCTGTTGTTTATGAGAACTAAGGGGTGAATAGCAACAGAAAAAAGTGTGTTGCTATTCACCCCAGGTTTTGTTAAAACCATGCCTAACCTAAAAAATTTATTTTGTATAAATAAGTTATTATTATTTAGCTTAAAGTCATTTAAGTTTTGTTTATAAGATACATAAAGTCACCTTTAAAACAATACGATAAGTTAATTAAAATAACAGTGTCATACTTACAGTCAGAGCTTTTGACGAACAAATTTTTTCAAAGATTTTCAGCGGCAAATCAATCACCAACAACAACCTCAAACAGGGATGCCATTTAAATATAATTTCTCTAACAAAACAGGTAATTACCCATATTTCAGAATGAAAATTCCCTTTGCATTTAAAAGGGATCATAAGTAGCAAATTTTCAAAATATTTATGAAGTTTTGTTGCTATTCACCCTTACTGTTGCTATACACCCCATTTTACGGTACATAAATGATAAAAAATTTTTTATTTTTTTTACAGTTTTGAAATGGTTTTGTACAACATACAAAAGTCAATAAAAATAGTTTGAAAATAAAATTATTTTGAAATTGTTGTTTTGTTACTCAGTGTGAAAACGTTTAAAACAGTTTTTTTCCTTTGTAAAGCACAGACTGATTTGACATTTTTCACAGCGAACCCGTGATTGCCCATTGCAACCAGGTAGTCGGCAGCGTAATCTTTCTATAGCCCAAATAGGTCAATGGCTCGTGTCATCTGTGCGAACATCAGCAATGGGCAAAGACTGCCGATGTCGTGCCTTCTTTATTTGACTGTCCAAACTTGGACGACCTGCAGTTCTCTTTTTGCTTGCTCCTTTTCCTGCTTTGCATAAACCTACAATAGAAAGAAACCAAATATCAATTCAAAAAAGAAAAAAAGAAAGCTATGAATGATTAAAAAAAATTGATAAATAGATATGAAGTAAGAAATAATAATTTATATCAGCTAGTTGAAAAATTTCAGACTTATTACTTACCTTCTGCGATTTCAGCTTTGAACTCTTCCAATCTAAGTGTTTGTGATGAGCTGCTTTTTTGCGAATGGGCACGCCTGTACCATAGCCATGCATTCACCACAGCCATGTCCAAATAATGAAAAAATAACCTATGATACCATTTTTTTGAGCGGATAGTGATACGATAAAGTCCCATCAGACTATCCAGCAAATCAACACTACCAATATGCTGGTTGTAAGTGGAGATAATCTGTGGGCAGTCAATTTCCTTCCTAGTTTTCTCAGCCGAAAACCATCGCTTGACTATAATTTTGGGCTCTGTAACCACGTATGTCGAAAGCAGGTTGACTTCTTTATTGTCATACCACTGTACAAATGTAAGGTTGATTCTATCCACTTCTGTTGAATACTCAGCCATAGACCCATAACTAGTCTTTTTCAAATCCTTTTCTGTTTTTGCTGAGAGACCCTGCAATCTATTTACTCTCACGGTTTCTACACTCTGAATAGATAATTTTTTGAGGTGCGCCATCAAGTCTATACTCGTAAAATAATTGTCGAAATATAATTTGTCCGACAGGTGGAATAGTCCGGGCCAAGCGTACAACAATATTTGAACGAAGCCCGCAATCATTTTCATCGGGGAGAACAATGTTTTCCTTACCAGTGTAAATTTCCATATTATAAGCAAAACCAGATTTACCAGAAAGGACCCAAATCTTGTAGCCCCATTTGTGCGGTTTGTTTTTGTTACACTGTTTTAAGCGGCTATGGCCTTTGAAAGGTACAACTTGTTCATCAACGCATAAAGATTCCTCTTTAGGAACTGTGCTTAGACAATTGCGTATTTCTGTCACAAGTGGCCTAATATTGTGAAGCCGATCGCCATCTGGGTCTAAAGTTGTATTATCATTAAAATGGATAAAACGCTTAATTTCTTCCTGTCTGTTGACCCTCATAGATTCTAAAACACTCTCAACTTTATATTTGGCATTCCAGTACCTTCTTGTACTTGGTAAAACTACCAAGGACATCCAAATAGCTATGCCCACAAACTTCTCTAACTCCGCAACAGTCAACTGGAGTGGTTTTTCAGGACGAGTTTGAACAGCATAAAGGTTAATTTGCTCAACTATATGTTGTTTTAGTGTTACAGGAAATAATGACTCAAAAAACTGAATAAGAGTTTTCAAGCACAGGATGTGAGCACCTAAACTCTCATCTCCTGAAAATGGTAATCTTCTGTCGGTTACATCTTTGCAGTTTTCCACTGAAGTTTTCGTTTTAATTTAGCTTTTATTTGTGTGCTAGTTGAAAGTATGTTATCATCTTTATCTTTTTTGGTTTTCAATGAAGATATGTCTTCAACGTCATCGCTTTCTTCTGAACTTTCATCATTATTTATAGGAGAATCGTAGTCCTCATCCCGCTCATTGTCATCTGACAGCTCACTGTCATTGCTTTCAAAAGGGTTTATTCTCGTAATAATTTTTTGCTTGCAGCTATTTTTCCCATAAAATGATCGAACATTTATGTTAGCAATATGCTAAAACAACATATAAAAAATATTGAATTAATTTATAATTAATTTTACTTTATTTAAAATACGATTTTACCAATATTTCTTATAAGTAAATTATTTTCAATGTACAACTATCAGAAATAATAAATTAAAAAAATAGCCATTAGTTATGCATGCGCATTACGATGCCATTTGGCATCGCATATTTAGGTTTGTATCATAAACTAACCGTTCATCCTAACACTGAGAATTAAATTTATTTATAAAAACAAATAAAAAGATTATCTAACCAAAATTAAATTTCTTCTCAGATATAAAATAAACATTAAGGAAAAAAAAAATTGTTGATATTTGGGTGATATTAGCACGATTTTTGGAAGTGTTTAAAAGTGAAACAAAAACATAAACATGAAAAAAATAATGAATTTATATTTTTCATCGTGTTAACTATCCTAAGGAAATGCCTAACGATTACTTTTGGCCTTGTAGACTATGAAAAAGCATAGAAGCAGAGGTGCTAATTCGCATCATTATGCAGTAGAGGGTTAATTTGTATTTCCAATGTAAAAGTATCACTTATTATATTGTCTTATTGTCAGTAAGTCTATCATTGAATTTGAATTTAAATTTTTATAACTGCAGGTTTTTGGTCATAAAAAATCTGCACATGTGTACATTAAAATTTTAGTTTTCACGTCTATATATGTGGGAGCTAAAATAATGAAACTAAAGTTTTCAAGTTGCTATTGTAAAAATATTATTTTTGTTAAATATAACTAAATAATAATTTTTTTTTCGGTCCTGATACCAATCAATAAAATAAATTTTCAATAAAAATGAGTTAAATATTTTTTTTAATAGTAATTATTAACTACTACCTAAGTAGTAAAATGTGGATTTAATTTTCATTTTCTTTTCAGGTGTTGTTAAGAAGAACAAGTTATTCAGTGACGTCACTACTTCAAGTGTTGAACAACTTGTAAAGGTTTAGCTTAGGCAGTCCTGCGACCGCGAAAGAGGCAGAAATGATCCAGAACGGGAGAGTAAACAATCAGTCCAAAAAAATTTAATCCGAGACAATCAATTGTTATAACTTTTAGCAAAAGTTGTATAGTTTAACGGTTTGTTCGAATGAAAAATATAAGCATACGTTAACAAAAGATTATTTCCTCAATAATTTAATTTAAATTGAGCTAAACAAGTACGTACTTGTTTAGGTCGACTTATTGTACATCATTAAATACTTTATTGCCCTGTTTCACTTTATTAAACCAGGTTTTGTTTTGTCTGTAATAAAATTCAAATAAAATAAAATCACAATTTTAGTATTGCTCTAACTTTTTTTTAATATTGGATTTACATATTTTAGACATGCTTAACGTATAGTTATAAAATTGGCTAAACGTTGTTTTTAGCATTGACCGATTGGCATTGGTCACCATGCGCCAATGATCACTCCGGTATTGGCCCAACGCTTTATTCCAACATTGTGCCAATGCAAGTCAATGCATTGGGCCAATTATTTTGGTGGCTGGTTATATATATATATATATATATATATATATATATATATATATATATATATATATATATATATATATATATATACATGTTTACATGTTTGAGCTTGAATATTTATCGAGAGTGCTCGATGAATTATAGTAAGTTAAATCGATATAAATTAAAATAGAGCTGTATTTCTTATATATTTTTTATAAATTAAAGCACATATTTTACATTACTGTTAGTTTCATGCGTAAAGGAGTATGCAAAAATTTTTTGATAATCCTAAATTACTTTTTATTTAGCGTCAAAATATAAATTCAAATCATAAGCTTAATAGAAACATGGTTTCTATGAAGCATATAATTTAACACATCTCCTTCAAAGCAGAAGGAGGTATATGCATTTTCATTCACAATTCTTCAGATTTTAAACTTCGTAAAGAATTATGCTTTAATAACAAAAGGTTATGAGTTATTAACCATTGAATTATTAGCAACACCAGCAAAGACATTATTTTTCACGTCATATATAGACCGCCATAACTAATATAAAAACATTTATCAAGCGCTTTGAATATTTTTTAAAAAAAAATATATATGTGGCAAACTAATTTATTTTGTGGGCAATCTCAATTTAGGCTTACTTTATAATTAAAAAAGCGTCAGGAATTTTACTAATATTATATTTCAAAATGTTTTCATCCCAACAATAAACAAACCAACATGCATAACAAAAAATAGTTCTACATTAATTGATCAAATTATAATGAACAATTTCAGAAACATAAAAGTTAAGACTTGAATATATTTCACTGACATTTCAGACCGTTTTCCATGTTTATAATTTTCAAATAAACATCAAGAAAATATCAGGAAAAATAAAATTAAAAAGAGGATAATTAATGATTCATCATTTAATACTTTTATTATTCTGTTATGCACAACAAAATGGGAAATTATTCCAAAAATTGAAAATGCAATGGAAACTTGATTTTCATTTATTTTTTTGACTGTTCCTTAAATGAGGCAATATACTTTCATTAAGGGTTATAAATATTCTTTTACAATGTGTAAAATTTAAAAAAAATTTTTAAGTGGCTCAAACTCGACTGTTTTATAATATTTCTACTTTTCTTCTTTATTATGTTTAAATGTAATAATAGTTTTTATCTTTTTTTTAATAAAACCTTGTTGTAGTAAATATATATTTACTAAAAATAAAATCAAAGTAGAAGACAAAATAATAAAAAAAAAAAAAAAAAGAATGATTTCTAAAATTAGCATGAAAACTAATTAAAAAAAATTGGTTTAAGTAATAAAAATATATGATAAAAGATAAATATAGACCCCTTTCCCCCCCCCCCCATCTCCACCTAATAGTGGGGAATCCTAAATTGTTGGTTTGGTACATTATTGATTCGTAATTTATGTGTGCGTCTTTTTTTAGTCCTACAGCATATTAGTTTTTGTTTGTTTTCTGTTTACAGTTTATATTAAGGAGCTCATAATTACGACAAGTTATATTTTTTCCACCTGTTGCAACTTGCAAAGGTATATAATTAGAAAAATCGAGCAAATATACAATGCATATGTCACAAAAAAGTATGCTTATTAGTAAAAGATAGTTTAAACAATGCGTCACTCAATATAAATAAAAACAAAATTTTATATTGGTTTTAAGTTCGTGGTTTTCAATTAGAACTTTATATTAGTTTTTTGTTTGTTTTATTGTTTATTTTAATTAAATCTTGTAACACTTTAAAACCTCTATTTAACTTAGCTTTAATTATAAAACCTTTATAAACATTTTTTATGATTATTTTTATATATTGTCATTTAATGCTGCAAAGTTTCATTCTCTTAACTTTACACCTACCATTTTCCTTGACGAAAGAGGTTTGCAAGCAAAAGCAACTAACCTTTCTTTCACATACTTTTCAATGTCGATATATAAATAATAGCCAAAGTTGAGTTGTTTGTTGGCAATCTAATGATCTTTCCGTTTTATAGCAAGGCAAATATTTACATGAAGGCTCTATTTTACCAGCACCTTTACCTCATAATAATGCCACGAAAAGTTTATTATTTATTTTCGGCGCACAGCGCATCGTTGCAAGTTTAAATATACAAGTTTTACAACAACTTTCTGATATGTTTTCTCTAAGGCTTTTTAATTATATGCGTATTGTTAAATATCTGACATCATAAAGATGACCATATCAATGCTTTCTATACCAGCCGACTTATATGAGGTTACATGACTGTTCCATATATGAGGCAATATACTTTCATTAGGGGTTATAAATATTCTATAACAATGTGTAAAGTTTAGAAAAAAGTTTTTAAGTGGCTCAAACTCGACTGTTTTATCATATTTCTACTTTTCTACTTTTTTATGTATAAATATAATTATAGTTTTTATCTTTTTTTAACAAAGCCTTGTTGTAAAAAATGAATATTTTTTTATAATAAAATCAAATTAGAATACTAAATAATCAAAATGAAAAAAAAAAAATTGATTTTCAAAATTGGCATAAAAAACAAATTAAAAAAAATTGGTTTAAGTATTAAAAATATATAAAAAAATGAATATAGACCCCCACCCCCACCTTGTAGTTAGGAATCCTAAATTGTTAATTTGGTACATTATTGATTCATAATTTATGTGTGTCTCTTTTTTTAGTCCTACAGCATATTAGTTTTTGTTTGTTTTCTGTTTACAGTTTATATTAAGGGGCTCATAATTACGACAAGTTATATTTTTTCCACCTGTTGCAACTTGCAAAGGTAAATAATTAGAAAAATCAAGCAAATATACAATGCATATGTCACAAAAAAGTATGCTTATTTAGTAAAAGATAGTTCAAACAATAAGCCACTTTATATAAATGAAAACAAAATTTTATATCGGTTTTAAGTTCGTGGTTTTCAATTAGAACTTTATATTAGGTTTTTGTTTGTTTGTTTGTTTGTTTTTTAATAAAATTTTGTAACACTTTGAAACCCCTATTACTTAGCTTTAATTACATAACCGTTATAAACCCTTTTATTGATTTTTTTTAATTATTGTCAATTAATGCTGCAAAGTTTCATTCTCTTAACTTTACACCTATTTATTTCCTTGACGAAAGAGGTTTGCAAGCAAAACCAACTATTCTTTCTTTCACATACTTTTCAATGTCGATATATAAATAATAGCCAAAAGTGAGTTGTTTGTTGGCTATTTAATGATCTTTCCGTTTTATTGCAAGGCGAATATTTACATGAAGGCTCTATTTCACCAGCACCTTTACCTCATAATAATGCAACGAAAAGTTTATTATTTATTTTCGGCGCACAGCGCATCGTTGCAAGTTTAAATATACAAGTTTTACAACAACTTTCTGATATGTTTTCTTTAAGGCTTTTTAATTATATGCGTATTGTTAAATATCTGACATCATAAAGGTGACCATATCAATGCTTTCTATACCAGCCGACTAATATGAGGTCACATGACTGTTACATAAATGAGGCAATATACTTTCATTAGGGGTTTATAAATATTCAATAAAAATGTGTAAAATTTAAAAAAAAGTTTTTAAATGGCTCAAACTCGACTGTTTTATAATATTTCTACTTTTCTACTTTTTTTCGTTAAAAGATAATAATAGTTTTTATTTTTTTTTTAACAAAGCCTTGTTTAAGTGAATATATATTTACTTATAATAAAATCAAAGTAGAAGACTAAAAAGTCAAAATAAAAAAAAAAACTGATTTTCAAAATTGGCATGATAAACTAATAAAAAAAAGTTGGTTTAGTATTAAAAATATATAAATAGAAAAATATAGACTTCCACTCCCATCTAGTCGTTACGAATCCTAAATTGTTAATTTGGTACATTATTGATTCGTAATTTATGTGTGTCTCTTTTTTTCGTCCTACAGCATTATAGTTTTTGTTTGTTTTCTGTTTACAGTTTATATTAAGGGGCTCATAATTACGACAAGTTATATTTTTTCCACCTGTTGCAACTTGCAAAGATGAATAATTAAAAAAATCAAGCAAATATACAATGCATATGTCACAAAAAAGTATGCTTATTTAGTAAAAGATAGTTCAAACAATAAGCCACTTTATATAAATGAAAACAAAATTTTATATCGGTTTTAAGTTCGTGGTTTTCAATTAGAACTTTATATTAGGTTTTTGTTTGTTTGTTTGTTTGTTTTTTAATAAAATTTTGTAACACTTTTGAAACCCCTATTACTTAGCTTTAATTACATAACCGTTATAAACCCTTTTATTGATTTTTTTTAATTATTGTCAATTAATGCTGCAAAGTTTCATTCTCTTAACTTTACACCTATTTATTTCCTTGACGAAAGAGGTTTGCAAGCAAAACCAACTAATCTTTCTTTCACATACTTTTCAATGTCGATATATAAATAATAGCCAAAAGTGAGTTGTTTGTTGGCTATTTAATGATCTTTTTTTTTTTTTTCATTTTCAAAAAAAGAAGTATTTCGATAACGTTTTAATCGAAAATTTTCGAAAACTGCAATTTCGATAATGAACCCTAATAAAAAGTAAAAATACTAATTAGTTCTAAAAAACAGTAAATTAGAAATCAAGAACTCTTGGTAGTCAGTAAAATGCAAACTGTGTACTTTTTAGCGAACGAAAGCATTTTAATGACCATAACAGTCAAAATATTAAAAACATTTCCTCATTGATTTTTTAAATTTAATATATTGGTATTCGATATATTTCATTTAAATTAGACTTTTCTTTTAAATTAATTATAGTTTAACGAGTAATCGATTTAACTTCTTAAGAGTTTGCATTTTACCATCTGGTAGATGGTAAAATACGAACTTTAATTATAATTGCAATTAAAATTCGTATTTTACTATCTACCAGAACTTTAAATTAATTTATTTTTTGCCGTTTACAAAATAAATTAAAGTATAAAGACTAAAGAACAAGTTTAGAAATTGTCGGGTGTGGATTAGACTTGGCACGACCCGTATCGTACGGGTCATACCAGCTAGTTGATATAATTAATAATGTAATAACTGTAGAACTTTTTTTCAACCAGAAAGTTACAATAACTACGTTAAATAATTAAAGAATTAGGATAATTTTATACTGGTTATTTGTTTTTATAATTTTTAAAAATAAACTTATTTTCATGTCTGCATTTATAAATTAATTCAGATTTTTTATTCAGTAAAAACTCTTGATGTAAATGAGTAATAATTTTAAAATTTTCTTGTAAACAGTATACTTTTTTGGAAATGTTATTATAGGCAGGCGCAGTTTTTAAAATATACCAGTTTAATTCAAAAATATTATTTTTTTCTTTTAGTTGCCAATTATATTTTGAAAGTCGCTATTGATGTGTATTTTTGTATGCAGATAAAGAGGTCTGATTTTCCAATGGTTCCCTAAAGTTGCTAGATTCCGCCCCCTTTCTTCCTTTTTCTCCGTTGAGAGGTGGGAGAAAGCCAAGCCACAACTCTGATTATACCATAACAAGAAAAACATTTTAGATTAAAAATTCTAATTTTATAATGGTCTTCTAGAACTGATATATTTTAACAATACTTTTAGTTGTAGCTTTTCTTTTTTTTCTTTTTTTTTTTGTATTTTTATTTTTTTTTTATTGATAAATGTTTTTATTTAAAAAATAGATAAAAATGCTCCGTTCTAATGAATAACGGTTTCATACATGTTTTTCGAGCTACAAGTCATAAAATCTCTTGATATTTAAATGAAAAATATTATGAGATTTTTCAACATAAGTTGCAGCGAAAATGTAACATGAGAATACTGCCAAACAAAATTGTAAATAAATGGGTGTGTGTTATTGTTTTAAAGACAAATAACTGTTATGATTTTAAATAAAGTTTTATAGCCTTTCGTTTTGTGTTATAACATCATCTTTTCCATATGCTATCAAATGAGCGTTAAACTAAACTATTATTGTTAAGAGGCTTTAAATAGCAGTAAGTTTTTTTTTAATACACAATTTATTACTTATTTAAAGTTCAATTAATCACTGAAAATAATTTAATTACAAACTATAACAAACTATTTTGGTATCTTAGGTTATAGCAATATACACCTAAGTATATTAACAGTAACAATACAACTTTCATATAATATGTAAACTTATAAAAATGAAGTTTGAAAAAAAACAATCAATAAAACTGTTAAATATATTGCTATAAATATGTGTTTGTACGCATATAGTAAAAGTTGTCTATAAAATATAGTGTATAAAGTTTTAACCCAAATTTTGATTTGAAGAATGATTGAAATCGTGAGTATTAAATAAATCTGCTATATACTATTAACGTATATGTGTATAATTTTTCATAAAATTTGACGTTTATTAAATCTATACAATTACACTATTTTAAGTTAACCAAGACTGTATATGGTACTGTCTACAAGACTTTTATTGAGACTAAAGTTCTTAAGATTGTTTATTTATATTATCATTATTTGTTATAGTCAAGACGTGAAGCTGCTTTTAGTTACATTATTTTTCTTTCTTTTTTTTATAGCTCCAAACTCCATATTAACAACATGGGCTATTGTCATTTTAAGCTCCACCTAAAATAAGCTTAAAACCTTATTAGCCAACCAAAACTGATGATGGTAAATATTCACCATCTTCAAAAGATTTGTAGAGACAATTCTAGTTGTTTTTTTATAATATAAAATAATATAAGACTTTGTAACCAATCAATTTCTGAGATTTTATTTTTAAAGCATGATCATAAAAAAAATTATTATTTTTTTACAGCAAACTCATATGCTAATAATTTTTTTGATTTAGTCTAAACTCCATAGTTAATTTTTGAAACAAGTCGTGAATATCTTGATAAACTTCTTTTAATTAATGCAGTAGAAATTTGTTTATTGTCGTAATTAGTCTTAAAGAATTCATTTGAATTGACCTTCTCTTTATGAAAATGATTTTTAAAAACTATACGATTTATGCTAAACTTGAGAGCTACAACATTCACTCGTCTAATGTACTAACTCTAAAACTTCATAAGATATTAATTCTAAAACTTCATCAACACCTGCTTTTATTGTTTTACATAGTATGGTAGCTCTACCCGTTCCTTTTTTTTTTTAACTTTACCAAACTATTTTAGGTTTTGAAATTATAAAATATTATTCAAACCAATTGTAAAACTTATGATAAACTATAAACCAATATTATTTTTAACAGATTTTTTAAAAAATTCTATTTGTTATACATAATTTTTATTCTTCATTTGTGCATGCGTTCGTTAAAATGTACAAAATTAAATAAAAAACATAAGTTTTTATAGTTTTTTTATAGTTCTGTTAAAATGATCGCATTAACAAGGATAAAACTGAAAATGAAAGACTTTTTGACAATGAATTAAAATAAATCAGAAACACAAGAAGTGTAGCTCTTACTAATGAAGTTCTTGGAAGTAATGGAAGGCAACGTTACAATGAACATAACGAAAAAAAGTATTATAGGGGGATCCTTTCAGGCAAACTTAAAAAAACTGAAATCAAAACTATCCAAACCTTATTTATTTAATTCAGGTATTCACACATTAAATAAATTAAATTTCTTCTATTCAAATGCAACTTCAATAAATAATAAAATGGGATGAGTTTCAATTAATGCTGAGTAAACAAAATTCGCCACATATCATATGCATATCAGAATCCTGGTTTTATAAAAAATCTGTTATCTTCCTGCCTAACTACACTTACTACAATAAAAAGTGAACAAGTAAAAAAGGTGGAGGTGTGGTGATTTACATAAAAAAATACATTCCATCCCTTGAAATAAATTACGAACAATTAAACAGTTCTTTAATTGAATCTATCTTGTATGAAATTAAAACTAAAGCAGAATCTATCCTTATTGGTTGCATTTACAGACCATCACACTCAGAACATCAAGTAAATACTGCAATTAACAAATCCATTACAACAGCTGCCGAACTAGTTAGCTCTAAACGTTTCTCAAGTCTCCTAATAGTATAATCTCCTAATAGGGATTTCAGCTATTCAGACACATTATTAAACATCATTGGAAGATCAAACTGTTCACGTCAATCCAGTATAGAATTTCTAGACATTTTCAATTCAAATTTTTTAACACAATCAGTGGTAGAACCAACTCTTAATGATAACATCATTAATTTAGTAATAACAAATGACCCAAACAAGATCTATACACGTCAATGATCCAATATCTCAATCAAAACAAAACTGCCTCAGTTCAACTCCGTCAGTTCAACTCCGTCACACACCATACAAAAAGTTCAAAAATTATTAAAATATACCAAAACAGGAAACTATTCAAATCTTAATATAGCATTCAACAGCATCAACTGGTTTGAACTATTCAATAAGCAAGACATCAATGAAATGAATAACAGTCTACAATAAATTTTTAAAAATCTAATTGATATTGATGTACCAAAAATCTATATTAATAGTAATTAAATTAATACAAATTTTATTAAACGGCACCATAACGATATCAAAAAAACAACTAATCGAAAAAAAAATTATATTTTCTTATGAAATTTGCTTCAAAATTATCTTACCATAAAAAACAACTTTTAACTGATTTCAATAGAAAAGCACGAGAATTAAAATAATTAGTAAAAAATATTAAACATGAAAAACCAATAATCAATTAAATGTTTAACACAAAATTACTATGCAAGTATATAAATAATTAAAAATCGTATAAAAATAAAATTATCTCATTAATCGATGCTGATGGCATAAATTTTGATATACCAAAAATTTGTATTAATAGTAATTATATTTAAAAAAGTTCTATCAGATTAAAAAATATACTTTGAATCCATCTGTTTTATTCTCACCATTTAATGTTAAAACAAAAATTGACGTAGAAGATGAAAACGAAGCAGCTGAAATTGATGATATTTCTCCTTATATTTCAAGAAACTGCAGTTCTGCTCTTAGTCTGCAACTTCGTTTATTATTTATCGAAGCATACAACACTAGAACTACACCACAACTATGGAAACAAGTAAATATCACACCAATTACAAAAAAAGGGAAGAAAAATGATCCAACTAATTATCTCATCATCAACATTTATAAGAAAAATAATGCAAAAACTAATAAAAGATGACATAACAAGTTACTTAAACCTACATAACGTAATAGCTAAAGAACAAAATGGATTCACAACAGGTAAATCAGTAATCCCAAATTTACTTGAATCAATAGATGTAATAACCGATGCTTTAAAAGGTGGATTCTATGCTTTAGTAGTTTACCTTGACTTTGTTACCTTGAAATGATAAAGCATTTGATACAATAGATCATAAACTACTAATTGCTAAAATAAAAATTTATGGTTAGTACAAAAAAATTTCAAACTGGATACACAACTTTTTCTCAAACAGGCAACAAAGGGTTGTAATCAATAATGAAGTATCTGAATGGCCCTCAGTATTAAGTGTTGTACCACAAGGTGAAGTTTAATCTCCACTTCTGTTCAACCTTTTTATTAATGACATGCCTGAAATAAGTTCACAATACCTGCAAGCTATTTGCTGATGATAGTAAGTTAATTGCTGTAATCAAAAATCAGAAATATCATGAAATGTTAAAAGATGATCTGAATAAAATATTTGAATGGACAAAAAACTGGAGCATGAAATTAAATTATGAAAAATATAAAAATATGAAAGTTTACAGCACCAAATCAAAAATGTTAATTGACCAAATAAACCAAGCTGCCCACTAAATATAACAACCCACAACGACAATCACAAATAACAAAAAACAACATAGGAACGTGACCTTGGTATCAACACAAGCAACAATCTGAAATGGAAAGTCCACATCACAGCAATAATCAATAAAGCTTACTAAAAACTAGGTACACTAAAGAGACATTTAATATCTGGTCAATTGAACTCCTTACTAAACTATATACATTTTATGTTAGACCTGCTTTAGAGTTTTTAGCATCTGTTTGGAATCCACAATTGAAAAATGAAATAAAAAAACTTGAAAAAATTCAGCAAAGAGCTACAAAGCTTGTCCGAGGTCTCAAGCACAATTCTTATGAAAACCGTTTATCAAGTTTAAAGTTAAGAAGTCTCGAATTCAGAAGAAATAGAAAGAAACTCATCTAGTATTATAAAATAAAAACAAATTTAAACAAAGTAAATTGGTGTCATCTAAATTCCAAAACTTTTTCTTCAACTCTAAAAAGTCCAACTTCAAATATCAGATGAAAACCACACAAAGAGTACAGAGAGTTTACTAAACACAGTTACCATAAAAATTTCTTCAGCAACAGAATAGTGCCATAATGGAATAGTTTACCAAATAACTTAGTAACGTCAAAAACAATTAACTAATTCAAAAAAAACCTGATGTCTTAACAAAAAACATATAATTAACTAATTGCTGCTTTAGTAGGATTACTATGATCATACTCTGCAAAGACTTTAAATATCTATGCTGCAGAAATAAATAAATAAAATTAAAATAAATAAACAGTTAGTGTAAGTTGTATAGGATAAATGTGCCATAATAGGTACAGTTGACAATATTAATTCCATTAATACACACATACATACAAACAAACAAACATACATACATACATACATACATACATACATACATACATACATACATACATACATACATACATACATACATACATACATACATACATACAAATATATAAATATACATACATATATGCAAACATACATACAAAAAAGTTCTTTTTATTGTCACTAGTTTATGAAACCTTTGAAGCCGACAATAATAAGAGACAAATATCCTAAATCTTTGTCTGACCTTTATAAGAGTAATAATATTTTCTTTAACTATGAGAAATTCTGAGCAACACGACTTCAGACAAATACTAAAAACTGGTTTACTTTAGAGAAGGTTGTATCCCTACTTCAAATCTTGGAAAATTATGTTGTTCTGACAT